CCATCTTCTTGGATATCCCAATATTTAATACCTACAGGCTGTGGCTTATTTAACTTATTTTTTCTAAAATATTGTCCACAGAATTGTTTCTTTTAAGCCTGGGATAGATGTATCTCCACAGCACGTTTATAAAAAAAAATTTGAGTTCTATAATCTCAATCGCTTCCTAAAATATAAGAGAATTCTGAAGCACTCAATATTTCAACATGTTTCAAGATTAATATTTGTTTTTCATTTTACAATTTTTTTTTCTAAATTTATTGCATATATAAAATATCATGGGTAAAAAAATTTTAAATATTTTTTTTATTCGGTAAGTACATTTTGCAAATTTTTGACAATATTTTTTTACATTTTTCAGATAAGTACTTAAAATAAATAAATTAGTTATAAACATAATATTTTAAATAATATCTAAATTAAATTAAAGTAAAATACTTTCTACTTTGTAAATACTAGACTCTAATGTTTACATATTTTCCATCACAAAATTTATGCTATACTTTTTTATAAACTACATCGATCGAAATAACTCATTTAAGGAAAATAATAATAATAATAATAATAGTAATAATAATAACGTCTTTATTGCAATTTCTAAGTGAAATTTACAAAAGGCGAAAGTCTAGCCCACTGGCCATTCTAACTTAATCCTTCCTAAAACTTTAACCTTATATCTAATAATTATAATCCTAAAATAAAACAAACATTACATTATAATACATAATAATAAAATATAATTAACGAACTAACAAATATTGACTTATTTTTAAAACTAATAAATATTATACATTTGTTTTTTGCAAGTGTAGCAAGTATCGTTTTAAATGTATTTTGAACGTTTCCTTAGACATGATGCCCTTGATGGTATTATCCAAAGAATTGAATAGTTTAACTGAGTTATAAGTAAATATTTATTATAATAAATGAACGCTGAAACATGGCAGTCTTATGATGAGGCATAGTTAATAATGTTGGGTTCCGTAAATTTAGAGTGAACTGCGTTGCGACATGTTAACTTATTTTTTAAATACCCAGTAGATGAAGAGTTTAGTATACGATACACAAACAAAAGGATATTGTATTTGAATGTGTTATTAATTTTCAACCAATTTAAGTTTAAAAAAATGAAGAAAATTGTTACCTGGACTTTTATAAGTGGAAATGGTAAAGGGGCTTATAATAAACGAAAAAAATAAATAAATGCGTGAGCAGGGGCGGCGGAAGGTTGATTTGGGGGGTTGAAAAGTTGTGAAAAATTGTATCATTTGGATTTCTGGCGAAAATTGACGTCAAACAAAAAAGTATCCAATACAATAGTTGTAGATCATGCAAAAATCTACAACTTTTGTAGAGGTCACATTTTAAGATAACCTCAAGATTTCCGAGAAATATGCGAAAAACAGTTTTTTTCTGATTTTTCGTTTTTTATTTCTCATTTCCGCAAAACTAATTTAGTTTTAACGAAACTTGATGAAAATATACCTTTCTAAGTCTTAAATAACCACAATTTTTTTAGATAAAAAATTCAAGGAGTTTCCGAGATATTTATTTTTTCCGGTCTGAAACACTTTTTTTTCAATGAAAAACTTTACCTAGAAAAATCATCGTATAGAGTTCTGCCGGTAATTATTATTTTCGTTTTGACATACACTTTTTGGTGAAATAAAATCTGTAGTCACAGTTCAAAAACAAACTCAAAAATGCAAAAAAAATTAAAAATGAATTTCAANCTGCGCGTCGCTTCAATTTATAGGAGTCGTGACGTAGAAAAGGGGCGGGGCTTCTGAACAAAACCCAACGGCGTCGGACCCCGATTCCACGACACTACAATATTAATAATCTGTCATAGAAACTATGTGCATGTCTTTACCGGGGGGCATACATACCCCCGTTCTGACAGCTAGTGGTATCTCTGCTCCGTATTGTTGTCGTATTTTCTCATGACAATAGGGGCAGCGTAAAGCATTTGCTTTTTTAAAAAGGGTTGCAAAGTATCTACATAATCACGTTTATAAACAGAGGCTGACTATAAAAATTATATTTAAAAACGAGTAAGACATACAGTCAGAAAACTTAAATTGTATTTGTAAGAAATTTTATGGAGGCACAGACTTCTTTGCCCTGCTTCTCAAGATAAACTGCCACTGTACAAGAAAATTTCCCACTAAACATTTTTCAGTTTCTGAATGTTTCAGAAACGTTTCCATTTTTCTCGAAACGTTTCATAAAAAATCCATGCAACGTTCTAGTAACGTTCTAGAAACCTAAGATGGCTTCCCCCTTTCTAATGAAACGTTTCAAAAAATTGGTTTCAATAACATTCTTTTTATGTTCAATTTATGCACTCCATATTTTTGTTTTACGTTTCAGTATATTTTCAGAAATATTTGAGTAACATAATTGTTATAATTTTATAATTTCTGACTATGTTTAGTTAGATACCTTATCAAGTAAGTTATTGTCAGTTGTCAGATGAGAATTTCTAAAAAGTCATAAGTTTTTCATTTTTATATATCTGCCGTTTGTGATTAGCCTTGTGTCTAGGCCAGGACAGACGGGTAGTTTGTCCAACGACAAGAAGAGAGTGACTTGCAAAGAGAGTTACTTGACATAGTTTGTGGCGACCGTGACAGGTCTTTGCAGGAGGTTACAAGTCGACGAAAGCGGTGTGAAAAACGTTGTACCTGTAACAGTAAATAGAATCAATTGCGAGGAAGTTAGGTATTATGGCTGATTCAATGGAGTCTAAAAAAAGCATAGAATAGTGCTCCGATCTTTTGTTACAAAATCGTTAAACGAATTAGACACTCTGTTAACGTGCTGAAGGACATAGAGGTTGCCTGGGAATGCGTAAAGCCTAAGTTTGATAAACTCAGCGCGATGAACTCTGAAGTGTATAATTTGTGGTTGGAGGCACAAGCGGCTGAGGCACAACTGTTGTTAGACATTGAACAATGTGAAGGCTATACGAAGAAGTTCACCACACTTAAGTTAAAAGTTAACAAGCTGTTGGAACCTGTAGAGGATGCTGGATCAATGAAACGGTCAGTACAAACTTCTGGTAGTCAAGTAGGTTATGATGACGTCGTACGAGGTAAGAGAAAGTTTAAGTTACCCCCTATTCGGTAACAAGCAGTACGATGGAAATATTAAAGACTGGTTGGTGGTTGGATAATTGCGAAAAGATAGACTATTTGATACAAGCTACAGTTGCGGGAAGTCGGTCGCGACAGATTGTAGAAAGTGTTCCCGTGCTTGATGAGAATTGTGAAAAGATTATTAACTGTTTGACTGCGAAATTCGGGTGTAAGGACCTACAAATTGAAGTATACGTGCGCGAATTGTCAAAATTGGTTTTAAATAACGCCGTATCAAATGAAAAGCAGGATTTGTCGAAATTGTACGATCTGATTGAGACTCAGTTAAGGGCGCTGGACACGTTGGGGATTACGTCAGACAAGTACGCAGCGCTTTTGTTTCCGTTAATTGAATCTTGTTTGCCACAAGAACTTTTACGAATATGGCAAAGATCGGCTTTTAATTCGCATGGTTCGTGTACAAATAATAGCGCGAGTAGTGGTAACAATGAACCAGCAGCATCCGTAGGTGACTCTCCATTAGAAGTTAGGCTTGGAAACCTTTTAAGTTTTCTACGCGCCGAGGTCGAAAATGAACAACGGATAGACTTAGCAAGCGAGAGATTCGGTTTAGCTGATAATTTTAAAACAGGGTCCGGTACAGCTAACCAATCTAGTAAAAGAAATGCGTTTAAATTGTTAAACAATTCGACGTTTACTGCGGTGGGTTTAGTAAATGTCGATGTTTTCAAATGTATATTTTGTACCGGTATTCACGAGAGTGACAAATGTTTTAAGGCACAAAAGATGACACTAGAACAGCGCAAACGTATTGTATTAGAAAAAGGAGCTTGTTTTAAGTGTTTAAAGGCAGGGCATGTGTCTAAAAAATGTCAGTCCCGCTTGAAATGTATTATTTGCGGATATTCGCATGTACCACTGATGTGTTTAGGTTTAGCTGGAAAGAAAACATCTCCACAGCAAAAGGAGAGTTCGAGCGAGCAAGATAATGTTAAAAGAGATCAGGCGATGTCCAATCAAACAAGTTCCTACGTGTTTCTACAAACTGTAAATTTTAAGGTTAAAGGTCAATCAGGCATGGAAAGTGTGAGAGCGCTTATTGACACAGGTTCACAGCGCTCGTACATTTTGAAGTCCACTGTATCGTCACTCAGTCTGAAACCCAAGAGAGCAGAAAAAATTGTACATTGCCTTTTTGGAGGAACGGAGATGGAACAAGTGCATTATTGTTATGACGTCACAGTTTCCAAAGGAGACTACAGGAAAACGTTTGAAGTTCCAGATCAGGCTCAGATTTGTAATGAGGTTTTACCAGTATTTATGGACCTTGGATACAAGAACTAAAAGTACTTAACGTGGAAGTTTCCGATTACAAAAGTCAGGGTCCAATTGAGATGTTGTTGGGAGCAGATGTAATTGGGTCTTTGTATACGGGGAAAATACATCTATTAATATGTGGACTGGTGGCAAATGATTTCCAACGACAGTCTAACCAACTTATGTTGGTTGGCCTGTCGAAGGCAAGATTCCTACACTGAATTCGACAACTATGACTGTAATATCGATGTTTACGAACCCTTCAATAACAGAACTGTGGCGACTTGATTTGTTAGGGATAAAAGAACCTACAGAGAGAATAACGTTAATTGAAAAAGTCCTATCAGGAAAAGAGTTGTTTTGTGAGACAGTAATAGTGAATGGAGAGGGTAGATATGAAGTCAGATTGCCTTGGTTAGAGGGGCACCCTCCCCTGCCTACAAATTACCATATAGCCAACCGCAAACTTCAAACCGCGGTGAAATAACTAGAGAAAAATGGGTTGATGTCTAGATCAACTATCAACCAACTTATGTTGGTTGGACTGTCGAAGGCAAGATTCCTACACTGAATTCGACAACTATGACTCTAATATCAATGTTTACGAACCCTTCAATAACAGAACTGTGGCGACTTGATGTGTTAGAGATAAAAGGACCTACAGAGAGGAAAACGTTAATTGAAAAAGTCCTAGCAGGAAAAGAGTCGTTTTGTGAGACAGTAATAGTGAATGAAGAGGGTAGATATGAGGTCAGATTGCCTTGGTTAGAGGGGCACCCTCCCCTGTCTACAAATTACCACATAGCCAACCGCAAACTTCAAACCGCGGTGAAACAACTAAAGAAAAATGGGTTGATGTCTAGATATAAAACAGTATTTGAAGAATGGGAGCGATTAAATATAATTGAAAAAACTACGAGAGGTGATTTTCTGTCCCATAGACCGGTTGTTAAAAAAGGCTCTACTACGGCTGTTAGACCCGTGTTTGATGCTTCTTCTCATGGAAAAGATGAACCATCGCTGAACCAATGTTTGGAGAAGAGGGAAAATTTGATTGAGCTGATACCTGCGGTGTTGGTCAGATTTAGAGAATATGCGATAGGTGTAATAGCTGACATAAAACAGGCGTTTCTGCAGATAAGTGTGAATCCGAGAGACCGTCAGTTTTTGAAATTCTTGTGGATTAATGGTGAGGATTAATTAGGTGAAGAAATAGTTTACATACACAACAGTGTAATACCGCGCGGTACACTTACAATGTCGTTATCCACCCGTAAGTTTTTACAAGTTTTGCGAAGGTTCATTGCGCGGAGGGGCAGACCCAGAATTTTATTTAGCGATAACGGTACTAATTTCCGTGGGACTGATAACGCTTTTGCGAATCTGGGCTGGGACGCTATAACTCGAGAGACTAATACGCAACGACGCGTTGAATAGCCTATGGGACAAGTAATTGACGTTGTACCGGGTAAAGACGATCGGATTAGATTGGTGAGAGTTCGGACCTTGCATGGAGAGTTGCTAACACCTGTACAACGGTTATATCCACTAGAGTGCATTGTTGATTCGGTTGAGAGGAACCATGACTATCGACGAGATGTCGCTGTTCCCAAAACGAAGATTCCTAAGTTGCACCCTGAGTCTTCTGAAAAAGGAAATCAAGAGGATGTTGCTGATTCATATCGCGTTTGCGGTAGTGTTCGGGATAGTGCGTGGGTGAGAGAATCAGCCGATTACCCAAATCATCTAGGTGATCTTAATGTAAGCCCAAGCGGGCGTAAAATAAAGTGTCCTCAAAGATATTTGTAGTTTAAGTTAGTTGTATTTAGGTGAGAAACAGTTTGTAAAACTGTGTCTCAGGTGGGAGTATGTTATGATTTTATAATTTCCAACTGTTTAGTTAGATACCTTATCAAGTAAGTTATTGTCAGTTGTCAGATTAGAGAGTTTCTAAAGTCATAAGTTTTTCATTTTTATATATCTGCCTTTTGTGATTAGCCCTGTGTCTAGGCCGGGATAGACGGGTAGTTTGTCCAACGGTAAGAAGAGAGTGACTTGCAAAGAGGGTGACTTGGCAATAATAATTTTATTACCATATTGTTCTCATAATGCTATCAACTTTAGATAATTTTCAATTCAAAAGCGTTTTTGAAATAGTATAAATAGTGAGTATTTTTTTTATATATTTCTAATACTCTTTTGTGATATTTTTATTTGTATTGTGAATAACTTAATTCGAACTCCAGACAACTTTTTCTGATTTCTCAAAAAGTTTAACTAACAAAAGTTGTTACATTATATATTAAAAAAAAACAAATATGCTCTTCTAGTTTGGGGATGCGGCAACTTTTACCAAGAACTTCTTTCTCTTTGAGAATTTTGCCATTCATCGTACAATTAAAAATGTCACAAAACAATATCAGAAGCATTTTAAAAAAGCTACACCATTTTATATTCAAATACGCTTCTGAAATGGAAATTTTCTAATGTTGAGACCATCATGAATATGGTAACAATGACGAACTGATAATTAGAAAAAGTTAGTTATGATTATGAATCTTGAAATGATAGGTACATGAGAAACAAACAACATTACTGAAAAATAATATAAAGTTACAATTTCTTCTACGCATGGTCAATATTACATCTATCCTTTTAATAATAATAAATTATACAGCAGAAATAAGGGTACAAAATGATATCTTGACAAAATAAATATCTGTAGTTGTACCTAAACTTTTTTATTTAAGCATGCCTATTAACATAAACAAATATAAACATTTGTACAAAATTCATATATATTAAAAGCTGATAGCGTTGACTTTGGTTGGCAAAGGCTTTTCTCGCGGGTCGCGTAGCGACCCGTTTCTTGGCCCGGAGGGTCAAGCCCTTCTTCGTCCGTCGCACCGTCGTATTTAGAACTTGATCCATGGACGCCTTCACCGTGAATTAGTCGGTTTCCTGGAGGTCCTCGGGGAGAGCGGCTTATTTTTCGTGTGCGACGCACGTAGAATGAGTCCGACACACCCATCCGATGAAATCTGACGATCGCCTCGCCTCGATTTCCCGTAATTATTTTTTATTTTACCCGTTTTCCGCGTTATTTATTTAAAGCCGCGCGGAAAATACTCATATTCATCGACCGGATGCCTTCTTCCAACTTTTTATGTAGTTCATATATATTAAAAGCTGATAAGGCTGAACGTGTCGCACACTCGCCCCGAAAAGCGCCGACTTTGGTTGACAAAGGCTTTTCTCGCGGGTCGCGTAGCGACCCGCCGCTTGACCCGGAGGGTCAAGCCCTTCTTCGTCCGTCGCCCCGTCGTATTTAGAAAGCGAACGATCGACGCCTTCACCGCGAATTAGCCCGTTTCCTGGAGGTCCTCGAGAGGAGCGGACTATTTTTCGTGTGCGACGCACGTAGAATGACTCCGACACGCCCATCCGATGAAATCTGACGATCGCCTCGACGATTTCCCGTAATTATTTTTTATTTTACCCGATTTCCGCGTTATTCGTTTAAAGCCGCGCGGAAAATACTCATATTCGTCGACCGGATGCCTTCTTCCAACTTTGTATGTAGAACTTTCCGCTAAACCACACGCGGTATTCGAAATGCGGCCGTAAATACGTTCAAATGCACACTGGCGCGGGGTTCGAATACCCGCATTTTGCCCCGCAGAATTCCTATCGCCCGAGCCGCGATGCGGCACTCGACTGGGCACCCGGTGTCCGGTCGTTCTTCCTTCTTCGTTCGGGAGCATTTTTGTAACGTTATTTTCGCGTTTTCCTACTTAAATTTTGCCTTTTTTGGGGTCTTCTCGACGACAGACGGCCGTCTCATAACCCGGAAAGATTTTAAGCATTGGGACACGCCCACCCGGAGAAAATTCGAACGACGTTAGAAATGTCAAATTCATTATGTCAAAATAATTTCACGCCAAACGTCAAACATGTCTGTAGGATAGCGGCGAACCGTTATTTTACCTTACTAGGCCTTTTTTAAACGTTAATGTGTAGCTACGCCCCGATATGAACAGGTATTCCATTATTGTCACGATATTATTTACATTTTTTCGTAACTACCGCTCTATATAAGCTTGACACATGCGAGCTGTCCCCGTATTGATGTAAGTACCCCTAAAATTACCCGTTTCAATTTCGAGGCAAACAGTGAACTCTTTCAAAAACCTTGCACGTTTATTATTACATTGCATTATGCATTTATATTACTCTACTATTGGCATTAATTGTGATACGTCAAAAAAAAACTGGCACTAAGGACTTCCGTGCCGCGAAATATCTTATTTTACTTTTACATTCACGCCATTTCGAGGTACATGTCTTTTAATTACCAGTACAATAAATTCCCCCGATTTAAAAAAGCAACCTCAAAAAATTTCATATCATATCTTCATTCAATTTTACAGGTACCTATTCTGACTTCCTTCACATTAACGAATCTTTGCGTTATTGCATTTATTTAGTAATATTCGCATACATATTTTTACACTTTGCAAATTTAGACTGCCCAAACTACTATCAAAATCGAAAATTAATCCACAAGTGTCAAAATGAATACGACTAGAGCAGTAGGTTTGCTTCCGGTCGGCTTGGGTCTGTCAGATTGTCAAATTCTAACATAGACCTATGGTCTATGGATTCCAACAATTTCGAACTGTAACTTCTAACCTAACATATTTTTCGTTACAAATACGCTCGATGAGCATAACCAGGTGTGGAATTTGTGTAATTCAAACACAGTAGTGTGTCACTGTCGTCACTCCATTCCCGAGACTTCTGAAATGCCACCAGTGTAAAGAAGTAAAGAAATGCCCCCAGTGCAGAGATGAACGCGGGTGCAGTGAAAAAAAAGTTATTACATTGTGAAATGTGTGCTTTGTGCTTTAATCCTTCCCAAATATCAGTAATTAAACATGTCACAGGTTACAGCTTGGGTCTGTCACATTCCAAAATTCTCTAACCTAAAATATCAACGGGTACAAGTAAACAAGTGGGCTTTCGCGAGTGAAGTGAAAAAAAGGTATTTAATTGCGAATCGGATGCTCTCGAATATTTATATCTGCTTCAGGTATCAGTAACTTCAATAATTAAACATGTAAGTAAGTTTGTCTTCTTTCAATAAAGATATTATTGACAAGAATCAATTCTTTCACTTTCCTTAGTACCTACTTTTTTATTTTGTAAGTGATGTTTTCAGTAATATATGTAAAATACCAACTAAAATACAATTGCATACGTACATAATTTTAATAATACCACCAAACGTACGTAGACAAATCAAATCATCTTCAATTTAGATTACATTCATTTTCAGAAAATATATCAAGTGCTGTTTTTAAAACGATTTCAATTAAAATTAAAACTGTATCAACAAGACTTAAGACTGTGATTTCTTATGCTCTAAATTTTTATTAAATTGTTTAGTTTTAAAAGATTCATTTCATTTCTAATACTAAGAAATTGATACAAAATACTGAGTTCTAGAAATACAGAGTGTTCTCTGTATCCAAAAGTAAAAGTTAGCACCAGTTCCAAAATATTTCTTAAACATTTTAAATATTATCCACACAACGATTTCATTTATCTTCAAACTATAAACGATGTATAGGTAGGGTGTTTTAATTTTAATCAATTGAAAAAAAAATACTACTAAAAGACATGATATGACATACAAGGTGTTATTTTACTAAGGGTCCCATCTTCTTGGATATCCCAATATTTAATACCTACAGGCTGTGGCTTATTTAACTTATTTTTTCTAAAATATTGTCCACAGAATTGTTTCTTTTAACCCTGGGATGGATGTATCTCCACTGCATGTTTATAAAAAAAATTTTTAGTTCTATAATCTTAATCACTTCCTAAAATATAAGAGAATTCTGAAGCACTCAATATTTCAACATGTTTCAAGATTAATATTTGTTTTTCATTTTACAATTTTTTTTTCTAAATATATTGCAGATATAAAATATCATAGGTAAAAAAATTAGGTAGGTACATTTTGCAAATTTTTGACAATATTTTTTTACATTTTTCAGATAAGTACTTAAATCCAGTTATAAACATAATATTTTAAATAACATCTAAATTAAATTAAAGTAAAATACTTTCTACTTTGTAAATACTTTTTTATAAACTAGACCGATCGAAATAACTCATTTAGAGGAAAATAAAGA